TATATATATATATATATATATATATATATATATATATATATATTATATGTATGCAGTGTACGTACACCGCAGCACAAGCGCACACGCGCACAAGACAGAAAGTCGCGGAAATAAGAAATGTGAATCAGAGATTAATTTTTGAATTTTTGTATATTTTTTTAATTTCTATTTTTTTAAAATTTATTAATTTGCTGCATTTTAGCCGGAGGTTTTGGGAAGCGCTGGGTGTTGCATGCAGATAGGGGGAAAACCTCCGAAAATGTTTGTCGAATATAATTCTTTTTTGAAGTTATTTATCGAATTAATATTAAAAAGAATTCAAATTTATTTCTTTAAAATAATATAATTCAGGTGTATAGGCAGCTTCCTCCATCAACTCCACCGCCGACAGACTTTGCAGCTTCTGTTTGCGTTAGTCGTGGCTGAAGGGTTTTCTATTATTTTTAATCTTTTTCTCATGTATATCCCTTTGAATATTAATTATAATAAAGTAATTTTGCATTAATTGCAGCTTTAGACCTTCACAGACCTCTGGGTTGTCTCTTTCTTCTCTCTTTTCGTGTTTCTCCTTCTATACACTCCCCCTCCAGTGTATATTATAACAATACTCTTTCTTTACACCTTGGTGAGGAGATAAAACCATCAATATTAAACCCTAAACCCTAAACCACAAACCCTAAACACTATATCAAACAAAGGAAAGCCCCATGCTGCAGCAGCACCAGCAGCAGCAATATCAGCAGCAGGATCAACAGCAGCAGCAACAGCAGCAGCAACAGCAACAGCAGCAACAGCAGCAGCAACAACAACAACAGCAGCAAGAGAAGCAGCAACAACAGCAGCAGTAGCAGCAACAGCAGCAGCAGCAACAACACCAACAGCTCCGACATGCAGGAGGAAAGATATGCTTGTCTGTTTATGTGTGTATTTGCTTCAGCAGCAAAATGATTAACTGTATAGACACCGCAGCACCACCGCAGCAGACAGCAGCTGCAGTGGAAGTAACCTACGGCCACAACAGAGGAGGGTTTAATCCCTACGTCAACAACGGAGGGTGAACACACCTTAGGGTTTAGGGTTTAGGGTTTAGGGTTTAGGGTTTAGGGTTTAGGGTTTGAGGTTTGGTGGGGGTAGCCGTCGCAGCTGGCAGATGCCTTGTTGCAAGAAGAAGAAGTACAGTGTTAATAACTCATCGAGGGTTTAGGGTGTAGGGTGTAGGGTGTAGGGTGTAGGGTTTAGGGTTTAGGGTTTAGGGTTTAGGGTTTAGGGTTTAGGGTTTATTGGGGTGTATGTACAGCACTGTGGTTTGCGTGGCTGGAGATGATTTTGCTGTTGGTGTTGGAGACACTCGGCTGTCTGTTGGATACAGCATTCACTCGCGCATGCAATCAAAACTCACCAAACTGTACGTCTATTTGCTGCTGCTGCTGCTGCTGCTGCTGCTGCTGCTGCTGATTGTCTGGCTGCTGCTGCTCTCATTGCTACTGCTGCTGATCTTGCTGCTGCTGCTGATCTGGCTGCTGCTGCTGCTGCTGATCTCGCTGCTGCTAACTCCTCCTGCTGCTGCTCACGTTGCTGCTGCTGATGCTGCGCATGCTGTTACTACTGCTTCTCTCGCGGATATTGCTGCTGCTTATATTGCTGCTGCTGCTGCTGCTGCTGCTTCAGGACATCGTGCTGCAGCATCGCTTCTTCTGGCATGCAGGCGGACATCAACACTCTGCACAGATGGCTGAAGGTAGAAGATATATATATATTTATTTTCTTTGTTTATTTATTATCTTTGTTTATTTGTTATCTTTGTTTGTTTGTCTGTCTGTCTTTGTTTCGTTGATGCTTTTATACGACTTCCCTCCTCTCTCTACTCTCTTTGTTTTCTGTTTTCCTCGTGTACAGGGTTTAGGGTTTAGGGTTTAGGGTTTTAGGGTTTGGGTTTGTTTACGGGGTTTAAGGGTTTAGGGTTTAAGGGCTTAGGGTTTACGGTGTGTATTTTTATGAATGAGGTTTATTGCTAGGGTTTAGTAGGGTTTACATTATTAGTGTTTAGGGTTTATTAGGGTTTACAGTTGTTTATCAGAGATAATTAGGGTTTGCTAGGGTAGATTAGGGTTTAGGGTTTACTAGGGTTATTAACAGTTGTTTAATAAGGTTTAGGGTTTCATAGGGTTTCCTAGGGTTTATTAGGATTTAGGATTTAGGGTTTTGAACTGTTTCGTAGGTTTGATTAGGGTTTCGTAGTTTGATTAGGGTTTAGGGTTTAGGGTTTAGGGTTTAGGGTTTGTGCACAGGTGCGCATTGCTTTGTATAAACATCAACACCGCGAAGAGCCGCCTATCTCAGCCTTAGCGCAATTATTGTCTGTTGTTTTATACTCGCGAAGATTTTTTCCGTATTACACCTTCAATGTTCTCTTTGGGATTGATAAGGATGGTAGGCTTTAAATATATATATATATATATATATATATATATTTATATATTTATATGTATATGTTTATGTATATGTTTATTTAGTTATATTATATTGCACCTTCAATGTTCTCTTCGGGATTGATAAGGATGATACGCTTTTAATTTATATATTAATATATATATATATATACATATATGTTTATATATATATATATATATATCTAGCTATATGTCTGTCTCTCTCTATATATATAGTATATATATGTATATATACATAATATATGTATCTGCTGGTTTAGATGTTTTTTTTTGAGTATAGGCAGCTAATTTCTATATAGTTTGGGGTGTATAGGCAGCTAATTTCCATATTATTTGGGGTGTATAGGCAGCTAATTACGATCTAATTTGGGGTGTATCTGCAGCTTTTTTCTATATGATGTGGGGTGTATATGCAGCTTTTTTCTATATGATGTGGGGTGTATATGCAGCTTTTTTCTATATGATTTGGGGTGTATATGCAGCTCTTTTCTATATGATTTGGGGTGTATATGCAGGTAAAGGTGCTGTTTATGGTTATGACGCTATCGGTTCGTTTGAAAGAGCAGAGTATAATTGCGCGGGGACGGGGAGCGCCTTGGTTATGTCTGTCTTAGATAATCAGGTAATATATATTAATATATATATCTATATATAAATATATAGATATATATATGTATTTATATATAGACATATGCAGAATATATACTTATATACATATATATATATATGTTCATATATATATGCATTTATATATATATATATATATATAGATGTACATATATATATATATATATATATATATATATATATATATATAA